GTAGGACCTCAAGTTAAGTGTTCGTTAGATAGTAGGACAACCAGATAAGAGGTTGTTAGGCAGAAGGACAACCAGATAAGTGGTTGTTAGGTAGTAGGACAACCAGATAAGTGGTTGTTAGATAATAGGAAAACCTGATTAGAGGTTGCTAGATAGTAGCACAACCAGGGTTGTTAGATAGTAGGACAACCAGATAAGAAGTTGCTAGATAGTAGGACAACCTAATAAGAAGTTGCTAGATAGTAGGACAACCTAATAAGAAGTTGCTAGATAGTAGGACAACCAGATAATGGGTTGTAAGATAGCAGAACCACCAGGTAATTGGTTGTTAGATAGTAGGACCTCAAGATAATTGATTGTTAGATAGTAGGACCACCAGATAAGTGGTTGCTAGATAGTAGGAAAACTAGATAAGTGGTTGCTAGATAGTAGGACCACCAGATAAGTGGTTGCTAGATAGTAGGAAAACTAGATAAGTTGTTCCTAGATAGTAGCACAACCAGATAAGAAGTTGCTAGATAGTAGGACAACCTAATAAGAAGTTGCTAGATAGTAGCACAACCAGGGTTGTTAGATAGTAGGACAACCATATAAGGGGTTGTTAGATAGTAGGACCTCCAGATAAGTGGTTGCTAGATAGTAGGAAAACTAGATAAGTTGTTCCTAGATAGTAGCACAACCAGATAAATGCTTGCTAGATAGTAGGACAACCAGATAATGGGTTGTAAGATAGCAGAACCACCAGTTAATTGGTTGTTAGATAGTAGGACCACCAGATCAGTGGTTGTTAGATAGTAGGACCACCAGATAAGTGGTTGTTAGATAGTAGGACAACCAGATAAGTGGAGGGAAGACAATGGATCGATCAGATAAGTAGTGACTTAAAGTTGGGGCAACATGATCAGTGATGGCTGGATTTACGAGGCTGGGTTTTGAGCACCAGATTAGTATTGGCTATTACAACTTGATCAGTGGGGTTGAGTTAGCAAGGCTTGGCTCTATCGTAACAAGAATATCTCAATAACATGGGCCTTTTTAGAAATTATTTAAATGTCATACACAAATTAGATGTTTCAAAATGTGCATATGCCAAGTCAATCATTTTTTCACTGATGTGATATGGTTACAGATATTTCACATTACCGCTGTCATCTGTGGCTGTTTCGTGATCTTGGGGCTGTAGTTTTAAAGTAAAATAGCTAGAATATATCATAAAACTGTGCTAGGGTTTACTTTTATGTACGACATCCAGACACGTAACAGTAAGGGTCAGTGATTTTTTTTTTTGTAAATCAATAATGAAATCAATATGATGACTGCCTAGTCACAATAGTACGGTGGCCCTGACACTCCAATAATATAATGACTGCCACTTCACAGTTAAAGTACGGAGGCCCTGATTCGCCACATGTAAGTAACAATATATTGAACGCCTTACATAATACAGTGGTAACACTCTGTTTCTGAGATAATTTTATGTTAGTTCGCAAGGTGGCTCTTTCGTAAATTGAAATCTTCATTGAATATAAAATTATAGGGCTTGTACTTGTTGCTCAGAAAACTCTTTAATTTTTGCAGCACCTAGTTTCTTTTCTTTTCCTTTTTTTTGGTGGGGGAGGGTGACGGTATTTTTCCTTGTATTTTAGGTCTCTTTAGGTGTGTTAGATTATCTTTGCATTGTATTATTTCACGCTACGCGCGTTAAAATCTCGACATAATATTACTCGATTTGTTTCACTTTTCAGCTCTTTTTATTACCTACAAACACGTCTTTCAAGGTCTTCATCTAAACATTTCTCGCAATATCTTCAAACCCCTTTATGACGCCAACAACTAGCTGAAGGCAGGATAACGAGGCATAAGTGTACTATGTATTGAGTGTCCTTCTGCCTGAACATGATATACATTGTAACGAAGTGGGTCTCGTGATGTTTGCTAGATATAATTCGTAGAGAATTACGAATACTATATACATAATGTGTTTACTGTCTTCATCAACTAATGATGTTTAGTAAAGCCTCGTTATATTGCCACCACTTGTCCAACGAAACATTGACATTATAAAAGAATTTGATCATGATTGTACATGGGATACCTGTCGTATAGTGCTCTACGTCATTTATATTACAGACGTTCTGGGTAAACGTGGCTATTTGGGAATGAATAAAAAAGGAGTCGGTAGATTTACATAGAATATAAGATGGAGACCATTGATATTTTCATTGGTCAACATTCAGACAAAATATAAATACAACAAACTTTGCACATCAGAAATTGTGCTCAGATGTTAATTAATCAGAGTCTCATTGTCAGACTTTCATGAATGGGGTTTCCGGTTACAGCTCCAGCGGAGTGGAAGATTACCGATGTCCATCGATTTTGCAATGAATGTGTAATAGAGTATTGTGGTAAGGAGACCTAATTGACCTTTAATTACAACTGTATTGTATAAGATCTTATTAATCTTTAATTAGTTCTAGAGTTTTTTCTTCAACTCCATCAACTAATCTAGGTTAGCGACCTATATTTACATCTTACTAGCTATTCCATCTATCGACTTCTTCAGAAAACATGTAAGCTTGAAAGCAAAGAGTTAAAATATATGTCCCATCTTAAAGTTGTTCCATACTGTAAAAACCCTTCAGGTATCACACTGTATGTCGTTAGAGGGGACAAATGTGTAACTCCCTGACGAATCGGGGGTTGTTTTTCTTCTCTGTCATGTGCTAAAGGGACATTTATTTACTCTATTTTGACCCACTGCCCCTATCGCAACAATTCAGTGTGGATTTTTTTATCTTTATCCTTTTTCACTTGCCTTGTCGTTCATTTCGGCGGTGTATCCGTAGGCACCCGACTTCATACGACCTTGGCTGTTGTCTCCGTAGGCACCCGTCTTCATACGACCTTGGCTGTTGTCTCCATAGGCACCCGACTTCATACGACCTTGGCTGTTGATTCCGTAGGCACCCGACTTCATACGACCTTGGTTGTTGCAAAAACATGATGTATATCAGTCTTAAATATAATGAAATGTATTCGTATCACACAGGTCATTATTTACATTTCTCTTTGACGTTTCAATGAGTCCATTTTCATGGTTGTTTATTACAGTAAAACTAAGTTATCCACGTGTTTCAGTACTTTGTCACCTATACTGGTCTTGTATAGGGACATTTATTTACTCTATTTTGACCCACTGCCCCTATCGCAACAATTCAGTGTGGATTTTTCTTTATATTTACAAAAGATTTTTCTTAAGATTTTTCTAAATATTTAATAAATATTTAAACAATATTTACGCGGTATTACTTGGATAATCATAATCAGGCGCCCAAAATTAAATGAACATAACATTAAGAGGTTTTCTATCAATTTTAAATTTCAAAATTCTTATTGAAATAAGGCCTGCCAAAAACTGATACTGAAAAGAAACACACACATTGCGTGACTTGTATATCAAAAACTAAAAGTGATGAAATAAACAAAAACGAAACGGAATCATCAGCGTGTCTTGACCGGGTTTCAAACCCTGGAATTCTTAATTGTTGTACACAATTGCTCTGACAAACATTGCTAATTGGTCAATAGAAGTGTCCAGACCTAACTGTGCTTAAGTTATATCCATACGGAGTTAAGGGGATGTTACTGTATTTACAAAACCCAACAGTGTAGTGGGACAGCGATCCTTGATTATTCTGAAAGATTGTTCATAGATTTAATTCATATGGGTAAACCAATAAGTCTTACAGTTTAAAACCAAATCAATGCGATAAAGATTAACAATGTGTATAACAGCTGAATCATTGTAGAATGAATTAGCATTCAACGTGCCAAGAGCCAGTCTGCATTGAGAAGAGTTATTCAGTTTTATCTGGACAAACTATTCCAAAGATTCCTTAGATCATCATTTTACTTGTTAGCAGTTATCTTTTCTGTATCCGTCACTCAGAGCGCAGCATATAGAAACGTGTCATGTGCAAATAGTTTGACGTTACAAATGAATTTGTTTTCCCAGGATTATTTATGTATGTAATAATGTACTATATAAATAAGTACGGCTCTAAAGCTGCGACTTGTTGTCTCCTGCCTTTATATCAATAGCTACTGGAACGCTTACCACTTAAACAAAGGGTTTCAAGTACAAATCATATTGGAGACATATTTGCAATTGATTATCTTATAGTTATCACTTATCGAGTTTTGTTGAGGTGAATATATGAGTATATGGACCTAGGAATGCGATATTAACCGAGACTTCGAAATAAAAGTCCTTAATTGTTATAGTAGATTTGAAATTGTCATGTTTTCAATTTAAACAATACGGAATGTAGACAATTTTTCAAAAAAGCGATATTGCAAAAAGGTTTCAAGTGCTGCATTTGTCAGAAAGCCTGGTGATGTCATCAAGTGAATATTAACCAGCAGTTTCTAAAAATTGAAATACCGAGTAAAAATCATAAATCATCGACGTCCACGTGATTGTGATCTGACCAATGAGGATGTAGGGAAAATAATGTCATCTAATACTGTAAACGTGGAATATTACGAACGGGGGTAATTTACGCTTACTACGCAGAGTCGGATCGTCCGCGTAAATGTCCCTCTCGCGTATGGTTTCGTCGATAGTGTAAGGAATGACATCTCTGGTAGATATTGGTACATTGTGTGTGTTCGTGATGTCCTCATGTACTATTGTTTTGTCAACGTATTACTAATTAACCAACGTTTTCTAGTGCAAACAAAAAATAAGACAAGCACATTTTCATCTGTCCAATGACCAGTCGGTACGCATACGTAATATGTACTCATGATCAGCAGCTAGTATTTTTACCTGTACACATTTTGTAAAGTAAGGGAGATAACTATGCATCGACCGCGTAAATTACCCCCGCGCGTACAGTTTTGACCTTCAAATCGCGTTATTTTCACCCAGCGTAAATAACCACGTTTACAGTATTGTTTTCAATATAGTGCATTTATTTGTTTTCTATATTCAGATCATGGAGACTTTGACTACTCGGTGACGTGGTGATTCTTGACACATAATGTCTTCGGGAACAAAGAGTGGAAGCTCAACGGAACGTTCAACAGATGGGAAACGAGCTGTACCCGAAGGAAAACCTAACAATGGACTATTTAATCGACAGAAGTCGAAAGGGCGTCTTTTTAAAAGCACCAAACCGGGCTCGATAGGGAACTGGAATTCTGTCAAGTCAGTAGGATTCAAGAAAAAGGGGAAATCGTCACCAACAATCCAGGAGGATAAAGATACAAAGACAGGGACGGAGAGTATTATTGATATTGAAGTAGAGGATGTCACAGTCGCCGAATCTGTTGACCAGGTGAATAGCACTGACAAAGACTCTTCAGAGATTAACACTGAAGCTGACAATATTAAAAACGACAATTTAGAAAAAGGGAAAGGCAACCCGAATGTAGTTGTTGAAAAAAATAACGAGAACTCTGAAGCAAAAACAAGTTCAGAGACTGTAATTCCGAATGGAGATGCTTCGAAACTCAACGGACATGTTTTCGGGAAACCGGTAGCTTCGAATGGAATAGCGCCAGTCCTAAATGGTGTACCAGCAAAAAAGGAAAATTCTTTCTTTCGTGAGAAGTCAACTTTAGCGCCACCTAAAACGCCAATATCGAAGAAAGAAAGAACAGAATCACCAGATAGCAAGAAATCTTTCACAAGACGAGATTCCTCGAAACTTTCGCTCGATGGATCTTCTCGTGTGTCAGTAGACGCCGCTTTACAAACGGCTGGAGTCGTATACCCCACAGAAGATAAGCCCCAAAAATCCGTGTTTTCTAACAATGACTCCTGGATACGGTCCGCCATTCCTTCCCTTCCTCTCTGGTTCGCTATCACCTGTCTCGTTCTCAACATTTTGATTCCTGGATCTGGTAAGTTTTTTAAGCCCTTTTTTATCATGTTTTTCCCTTTTTTGCACTTATAAATCATTTTGTAACCAATTATCCCTAAAGACCTTAAAAGAGTATTTGTGATTTGTTGGTGGGCTTACAGTGTCATATCGATGTAGATACTTGGCTTTGGTTCATTTGCAAAATTGGTTAAGTTGGTAATTTGAAATATACCTTGGCACATTCATAAGACTCAAATGTTTTTAGAACTAATACATTGTACTATTCACTATATATCGTATGTAACGAATTATTCAGTCAGATGTCAGTTAATCAACTCCTCAAGAGTTACCAAATAGCATCATAAGGTGTCCCACAAAACTTCCCAACCGTGCATTCTAACCACTGTATTTTTTCAAAAGATTCGTCTCATTCAAGCAAAGTGAAAGTAAAGCGCTGCCATGTTGTATATTACTTGACTTGCGATCTGAACCGGTCACGTACGTCATGCTCGGGGCATGATAGAAATATCCAGCACAAATAATTAACGGTTGAATACGCAAATTAATACAATAATGCATATTTCATTTAATTGTAATATTTGTAATTATTTATTAATCATCTAATTACATTTTAATATCTGTTAGTCGCAATCCGTTGATTTAACTGCATTTAATTGACCAATGCGTCGATGAAATAAATTTGAATAAAATAACAACAGTGTTAAGCTGGCATTATTTTGTATTGTACATGAAATAACAGAATAAAAATTATGTTAACTTCTGATTACAAAGGTTCAAAAAAACACGGACTTAGATCTGATTCCGTGAGAAAATCCGGAACCTTGTACCGGTAACCGCTTTCCAGAGAAGATGCCCCGAGTGTCAATAGCCACGCCGCGCGGCAGTGGCTATTGACACTCGGGTGGTAATAGCGACGGACTATATAAATACGACCCGTATCTGAACAATTTAGACATATGTCCATACGTATTTAATACATTACCGTAATTGCCTAGACAGACAAAGTGCTTACAATGTAAAATTCTAAAATGCACTCATAAAATACAACGCAATGTTCCTTCCATCATTTTAACGAGTATCTTTACATATATTCTCAAGTCTAAATTCATGCCTTTTTGATTGAAATTGAATTGGCTAGGCTACAAAAATTGTATGTTTCATGTACCCCGAACTTAGATTTTACCTCCGATCCTAACAATTAACTCACTCTTCCTAATCAAATGCGCCGAAAATCGTAAGCGACTTCATGACACCTCTCTGTTTCATGGACAGGTATCAAAACCAAATTTAAGTCCCATATTTTTTTATCTAAAAGAACTAAAAATATACGGAAAAATTAATCCAATTGGTCTGAATGGCTATGTTTGGTGACTATTGTAATTTCTTGAATTACCCAACCTCAGAAAAAAAATGTATTTAAACCCCACATACCTACAGTACCCTATTATTTCAGTCATGTTACCTGAAACATACACATTTTTATTTTTGGTCCGATCATAACAGCAATCCAACAGACAGTTCTTAATGAAAAATGTCTAACCGTAAATGAACATAAATGTAAACTTTAAATAATATTATTTTACAACAATTATGAAACAAGTTTTGTTTTAACTTATATTAATCACTCTTGTTACCCCGGATGGACGCGCGCAGATCTAGATGGTCTTAATGAGGGAGGAAATTAAAGTTCCTGGAGAAAAGTGCCGTGGTCGGGCAGATGACCCCTATACCTTTTCACGTCCGATCGGGGAATCGAACCCCAGTCGTCTTGGTGAAAGGCGCGTGCGTTATTCACTGCGCCACCCGACCACCCTATAACCGTACAATCACATTTCATCACAGAATATATACGTCTCTCACTTTCACTGTAATTACTCAATCTATTGTCATGTCTTTGTGACGTAAATCTGGATAGGATTAGAATCTTGTTTCAAGTCGCGATCGTGAGAGTTTCTTCCATTAACTGAACGAATTATACTTTCATGGCAATTTGCTGTTTTATGAGTAATAACAGAAATATATTCCCCAATTATATTTATCTTGATTTCCCATATAACATCGATTTTCAGCGACATTCACAGGTTGATGGATAGATTGTTAAAATCAAGTACCGCCAAACAAATACATCAAAGACAGAGATACCATCTGTCCTCGCCATCAACCACGCAATAGAGAACGACACAGCTACTAAATGGGAAGTGTGCTTATGATTTTGTATTCATGGGGCAATGAATAATATATATGAAACAATACATCTCATATCTAACGAGGTAACACATAACAAGAAATATTTAAATAAAGATATATCCTAAATGTTTGTGTAAATATCGCAAGTCCGTCATTCATTAGACATTGGAGTGAGTTATCTAAAAACATCTATTTAAAATGTAAGTACATTGAAGCAGAAAACAACACAAAGCCATTGTTTACTGTACAATATCGACCAATCAGGATTCATCAGTGTAGCACGAACAGCTAAAGGAATGTAAATCAATGCTTAAAGTGTTCTGAAACATATGTAGAGATAAGATTAAAGGACGATCAGGGTTGGGGTCCTGGATGCGGCTTTCCTCCAAAGAGTGCCCACTCGCAGGGGGGAGTCATTCTCCCTACATATCATTTACACTATATATTTTTAACTTTGCAAGAGTTAGTTCGCAGTTGAAGCGGGCATAATTTGTCTCATGTGGCATTTTCTTAGGCAATGATTCGACCCGAACAACGAACACTTTTTGAACGTGTATTACTTGTATCGTTAAAACATAAGTAAAATTACCGTCAGTTTGGTGAGTGTTATATATTCCGTACTGTCGATGCTTCGTGTGGGACACATAATCTGTTATGACATAATCGATTATTTTTTTACGTATAATCGATGTTTAGGTTAGACTCATTATTGTACACAACAAAAGCACGATACATCAAGCCAGTATACGAGCTTCCCTTTATTAAATTTTACGTGTCAATATATCAAATCATCTACTCGTCGTTATAATTACATAGTACTCATGTTTCACAGAAATTGACAGTGAACAGAAAAAAAAGTATCTTAATTTGTTATTCTCATAGTTGATGCAGTTATAGTTGATTCAGTTATATAATCTCATAGTTGATGCAGTTATATAATCTCATAGTTGATGCAGTTATAGTTGATGCAGTTATATAATCTCATAGTTGATGCAGTTATAGTTGATGCAGTTATATAATCTCATAGTTGATGCAGTTATGATTGAGATTCATTGATTCACTGTGCAATAATGTACAATATGGATTAATCAGATTAATGGCATATCAAATTCTTTGGAACAATGGCCTGAGCCGTAATATTGATTAACTTAAACACCTTAGTAATGGCATCGATTACCCGTAACGCCTTGGTATTGTCCATGATTACTTCAAACTTTTCAGCAGCGTCATTGATTACCTCATACTCCCCCGTAGTGGCATTGGTTACCTCATACTCCCCCGTAGTGGCATTTATTACCTAAAACTGTTCAGTAGCGGCATCGATTGCCTAAAAATCCTTAGAACTTGCATTAGTTACCTTAAAGTCCTACTGAGTGGCAGTGATTACCTCCAACTGTTCAGTAGCAGCATCGATTACCTAAACCTCCCCCGTAGTGGCATTGATTACCTCAAACTGTTCAGTAGCGGCATCGATTACCTAAACCTCCCCCGTTGTGGCATTGATATGTACCTCAATCTGTTCAGTAGCGGCATCGATTACCTAAACCTCCCCCGTAGTGGCATTGATTACCTCAAACTGTTCAGTAGCGGCATCGATTACCTAAACCTCCTCGGTAGTGGCATTGATTAACCCATATTTCTCCGTAGTGGCATTGGTTACCTCAGACTCCCCCGTAGTGGCATTGGTTACCTCAGACTCCCCCGTAGTGGTACATTGATTACCTCAGACTTCAAGATGTTACACCTACCCTACATCATATCTTTTACAATTCAGTCTGTGTCCTTTTCAAAAGAAATCCAGATCATCCCCGCAATGTTGTGTTGAAGGGACATACACCCCACAATGTTGTGTTGAAGGGACATACACCCCACAATGTTGTGTTGAAGGGACATACACCCCGCAATGTTGTGTAGGAGGGACATACACCCCACAATGTTGTGTTGAAGGGACATACACCCCACAATGTTGTGTTGAAGGGACATACTCCCCACAATGTTGTGTTGAAGGGACATACTCCCCGCAATGTTGTGTAGGAGGGACATACACCCCACAATGTCGTGTTGAAGGGACATACACCCCACAATGTGATGTTGAAGGGACTTACACCCCACACTGTGATGTTGAAGGGACATACACTTCACAATGTTGTGTTGAAGGGACATACACCCCACGATGTTGTGTTGAAGGGACTTACACCCCACAATTATGTGTTGAAGGGTCATACAACCTACAATGTTGTGTTGAAGGGACATACACCCCACAATGTTGTGTTGAAGGGACATACCCCCCACAATGTGATGTTTAAGGGACATACACCCCACAATATTGTGTTGAAGGGACATGCACCCCACACTGTTGTGTTGAAGGGACATACAGCCCACAATGTTGTGTTGGGGGGACTTACACCCCACAATTATGTGTTGAAGGGACATAAACCCCACAATGCTGTGTTGAAGGGACATAAACCCCACAATGCTGTGTTGAAGGGACATACATCCCACAATGTGATGTTGAATGGACATACACCCCACAATATTGTGTTGAAGGGACATACAGCCCACAATGTTGTGTTGAAATAACATACACCCCACAATGTGGTGTTGAAGGGACATACACTTCACAATGTTGTGTTGATGGGACTTACACCCCACACAGTGATGTTGAAGGGACATACATCCCACAATGTGATGTTGAATGGACATACACCCCACAAGGTTGTGTTGAAGGGGGATGACATACACCCCACAATTATGTGTTGAAGGGACATACACACCACAATGTTGTGTTGAGGGGACGTACACCCCACAATGTTGTTTTGAAGGGACATACACCCCGCAATGTGATGTTGAAGGGCCATACAACCTACAATGTTGTGTTGAAGCGATATCCACCCCACAATGGTGTGTTGAAGGGACTTACACCCTACAATGTTGTGTTGAAGAGACTTACACCCCACAATGTCGTGTTGAAGGGATATCCGCCCCACAATGTTGTGTTAAAGGGAAATACACCCCACAATGTGAAGTTGAAGGGACATACACACCACAATGTTGTGTTGAGGGGACTTAAACCCCACAATGTTGTGTAGAAGGGATATCCACCCCACAATGTTGTGTGGAAGGGACATACACCCCGCAATGTTGTGTTGAAGGGATATCAACCCCACAATGTTGTGTGGAAGGGACATACACCCCACAATGTTGTGTTGAGGGGACTTACACCCCACAATGTTGTGTTGAAGGGATATCCACCCCACAATGTTGTGTTAAAGGGAAATACACCCCACAATGTTGTGTTGAAGGGACATACACCCCACAATGTTGTGTTGAAGGGACATACACCCCACAATGTTGTGTTGAAAAGACATACACCCCACAATGTTGTGTTGAAGGGACATACACCCCACAATGTTGTGTTGAGGGACTTACACCCCACAATGTTGTGTTGAAGGGACAAACACCCCACAATGTTGTGTTGAAGGGACATACACCCCACAATGTTGTGTTGAAGGAACATACACCCCACGATGTTGTGTTGAAGGGACTTACACCCCACAATGTTGTGTTGAAGTGACTTACACCCCACAATGTGATGTTGAAGGGACTTACACCCCACAATGTTGTGTTGAAATTTTGAAATTCGGTCGACCCCATATATATTCTGTCTTCATACTTTTTTCTGTTTATAGATACCAAACCTATTACTTATATAGATTTATAGATACCATACCTATTACTGATGTAGATTTATAGATGCCATACCTATTACTTATGTAGATTTATAGATACCATACCTATTACTTATGTAGATTTATAGATGCCATACCTATTACTTATGTAGATTTATAGATACCATACCTATTACGTATGTATATTTATAGATACAATATACCTTTTACTTATGTAGCGACTCGTTTCTGTGTTTTAGGTACAATACTTAGCGGCTGCTCCATTCTGTGTTGTGGGAAATCACGAGTCCAAGCTAAGGATGACCAGCTGACCGTCACGCTGTGTGTCAACATCATGGTGGGCATAGCCCAGTTGTTTACGGTCACCTTCCTGTTCGTCGGCTGGTTTTGGAGCCTGGCCTGGGGTCTCAAAATGGTCTCCATTGCTGGTAAGTAGGGTCGTGATAGGGAGGGAAAGTAGACAGGGGACACTTAGGTAGGACAGAGACTTAGATCTAATGGCGTGGTAGGATACGGGTATGTAAAAGAGGGAAAATATGACAGTCAATTTACAGGTAGTTACATAGATGGTTCAGTTTTCTTTATTTCCGAGAGCCATCCGATTCATAGGTTAAATGTCAACTATCTACACCATGTAGTACATGTACAAGAGATTAATATACATATTTCAATTATTAAGTGGATAGTGAGCTTACAAAGTACATAAGTAGTTTTCCATTTCAGACATTGATTCATCAACGTTTTCTCGTAGTACAATATAAATTCTTTCCGAGATTACATAATTCTTTTACATTATTATTACTCAATAATTTCGTTTACTTAAAACCATGAGGACGTCTGTGATAGAATCGCTTGATAGGTCTTGATATGATTGACATTCATGTAAATAACGGATAACTACGCAGGTAGACTTATTGGAACCTAGCTTTGCGTGAGCGGGTATTTACGCCAATGATTTCGGAATATTTGAATGAAAACTATTCGATCGATCCTTCAATGTATTTACTGCTGAATTTTACCATTTTCAAAGGAAAACGTTCATGGTTGAAATCATCAGCAATTTTATAGAGATATTGAACACAAAAGAGAAACCAAGTGATGTTTAAAGATATTTAAGGTAAGGAAGGATAATGAAGTATTTCAACATTTCATAATTTTCTTTTGAATTCACCTAGTTGAGTACCGCCACCAGAAGAAACAACAAAGGGAGCGAGAGTTACAGACCCTGGCACTCAGTGCGTTCGGCTCGCCGTCTCGTGTGCGGTCGTTGTTCTCCGCTGTTTAAGGATTCTCGTTCGTGTATTTGCAGTACTCTGTTTTACTCCCGTTAGGCTTCGCTCCCTGTTACTAAGACGGTTCGGAGTCGTTCTTTTCGTCGAGACTCATGGAAATAGTAGTTCCGTTGGAGGCTAATTGTACTATAATAATAATATGAACCAGTCTAAAAGGCAGATTGGTAAACCTGTACTTCGAAGCGAAGACTAGCGGATGTTAGAAAAAACTACGAAAAACAATCCAGTGTTCCCGATGATTTTCGTGTGTGTGTCCGTTGTTCTCCAAAATGTATTTCTTTATAACGGCAGTACCATTCTGAAAACTATATTTAGAACTCGCCTGTACAAAATACTACAGAAATCACTGCGTATAAGTGTCATTTTCAAAATATTTGTACTATCAAATACGGTGTATAAATCTAATGTTATGTTAAAAATTCCTTGTGATGAAGATGACGTCTAACGGAGATATCATTATTGTTACATATATCTTATTTTATAATGTTATATAATAAGACACAGGTGTTGTATTACTTATAAAACTGTATGCAAAGCATCTGGGTCTATTTCGATTTTCGATTTGTTTATTTTGAAATATCATATGTCAGAATTATGCAATTAAATATATGATGTGTTTCTTGTTTTCTTTATCAGTTTATTTTAATCTTTCTTCGTCGTCTTTCATAGTTATTATACATGTTTAAATAAATTTAATTTTTAAGAACAATTCTTTGTCCGTTGCATTATTTGTAATTCTACCATGTCTGCGATGTAACGACATTAGTTTAAACATATTTATTGCCAAAATAAGACCAAGTTATAACAACTTATCAACGCCTTCTCCTAATATACCTTTTGAATGACATTACAATTATGACAATAAATATATACAATTGTTGTTACCATTTGAACTCAAAATCTCTTGCTGTATTTAATAAAGTTTTGCACAGATCTAAAAATGTTTGAGTTAAGGTCAACGGAAAATTGTGAATTGCCAAACAAAAGAATTTCTAAATTTAACGCAACATTCAAATTATTCAAATGTTTAACCAAAATACTTCTTTCGTTTGTAAAAAGGTGACATTCTATAAAATAGTGAAAGACATTCTCACAAGGATGACCACAAATTACAAGACGCATTCTCAACAAGGTTAACTCTAAAAAGGTCATGATTAAGGGAACTGCGCTGGTGACGGAGCTTAGTATGCAAAATATTAAGGTTACGATTTCCGATTTTAAAATAAATAGGTGGACTTGACTGAATATTTGATGTTAAACAGGATTTGAATGAATTAGTAGAGGGTAGGGATCGAACCGAATTTTATTCTAATAGTGAAGGGTAGAAGGTAGAAAAGAAGAGTTAGTAAGAGATAATCTGAAAGGAGGAATCCTATAGTTAATATTGTTACGTAAAGCGTAACGATTATTTTCTCCAGATAAAGGCGGCAAAAGATTATTGAAGTTATCAGGAGTTAATTTATTATGCATCTTATACAACAGTTGAAATTTCCTCCGTTTTTTGCGAATAGATAAAGTTTCAAGACTAGTTTCGTAATATAAAGTATTAATAGGGGTATATGAAGGAAGTTCTAACTTTTCCGATTCAAAAAACAGTGCAACCGTCCCACAACTCACAAGCATATTCTAAATCAGGTAAAATAAAAGTCTTGTAAATTATTAAAAGAGCATCCCTACTTAATAAATGTTTCAGTTTCCGTAAGACATCGATTTTTTTCATAACAAAAGTGTTAATTCCATTTACATGATCCTCCCACTTTCCATTCGAATTAAAAGTTACCCTAAAATGTTTATGATAATCTGTAACGTTTAAGACTTTCCCATCAAATTCTAATTCTAAGTCTTCTTCGATATCGATTGAATTCGAAATAAGCAATGCATCTGTTTTTTCAGGATTAAAATTAACCAACCAGGTTTTTGACCAAGCATTTAAGATCTCTAGGTCTCTATTTAAAGTTTCTTGAATTTCTAGACAAGATGAAGATGGCTTAAGTAATGATGCATCGTCTGCAAAGAGACGAGACGTTGATTCAAAATTATCTGCTATGTCACTAATAAATATAAGAAATAAAAGTGGGCCAATAATAGAGCCTTGCGGAACCCCTGCCTCAATTAGACCTACAGAAGAATATGAACCGTTCAGAAATACCTTTTGGTGTCTCCGAGACAAATAATTGTCTAACCACATAAGCAATTCACCTGAAAATCCGTGCGATTTTAACTTCACCATAAGACCTCTATGCCAAACCCTATCAACAGCTTTGGATATGTCACAGAATACAACACACGTATGCTTTTTTTCTTCAAGTGCAATACAGGTTTGGTGATAAATATCAATGAGTTGATACACTGTAGAATGACCATGCATAAAACCAGACTGATATTTGTAAAACAAAGAATTTTCTATAAAGTAGTTGTACAAATGTGGACAGTGGTCAGCAATGAAATTGGTCTCTAATTCGAAGGAGAATATCTGTCACCCATTTTCAACAATTGCATGATATTAGCTAACTTCCCTTTATTTGGATAAATCCCTGTTGTTAAGGATATATCAAATATTATTTCGAGCGGAGTACAAACAGTGTGAGCAGTATTTCTTAGCATATGGTTGCTGATTCCATCCCCACCCGAGGCCTTGCCGAGCTTCAATATCTGTAGAACATCGCGTATTTTAGTTGAATGTAATCTAATTAAACTAATTTGTTTGTCAGTTTTTGGATCAAAAATCGGAACATCAGTGTTACTGTCATCTACTTTAGTGATACAACAAAAATAGTTATTTAATAATTCAGCTTTATCTGCATCTCTAGTAACTATGTCATTAGTAATAGGATCGACTAAGGAAGGTATAGGTTGTGAAGTATCAGACGTTTTAATTTTAATTAATTTCCCATAAGACTTAGGATCAAAAGATGAGTACCCATCAATAATATCATAAACATTTTCATAAAAAGTAACACGTGCATGCTTTTTCATATTATTAACGTTGTTTCGCTGTGATTTGAATTTATTGATATATCTACCAAACGTTTGGTTGACCTTGCTATTTTATGTAACCTATCCCTAATTCTGAAGTTTTTTCTAAGCTCAGAGGTCATCCATGGCTTATCATTAGGTTTTATATTTACTTCTTTACTAGGAATACATTCATTGGCAAAAGATAGATAAATGTTCGTAAAACGATCACAGGCTAAATTAACAGAGTCACAATTATAAACAAATATCTATCCAATTATGATTTGATATAAATTCATTAAATTTTTCAAACTTTGCACTCTTGTACTGCCAAAGCAGTGAAGAAGTCAACATTTAAGTCCCCTGTTACTATTACATTAGGAGAGATATCAAGAGCATTATTTATAGACGACATTAAATTTTCCCAAAACGGTAGGATAGAGTTTTCTATAAGCTGTTCCAATAATGTAAGTCGAGTAGGGTAGGCTAATTTTTGTCCATATTACCTCATCACCAGGATATTCCAATTCTGGCAAGCGATCAACTTCAATTTCTATCAGGTCGAAAGGGAGAATGAAAACCATCAATACATAAATCATTAGTAGTAACCTGATCATCTAAATGAGTTTCGGTTAGACACACAATGTCGTATTCATCTACTTTGTCCTCAATGCAGTCCAATTTGTGTCTAACGCTCCTAATATTTAAATGAAAAATAAAAAGCTTCGCAAAGTCTCGGACCAGGATTGGACTCAATATCCATAGGCTGTAGTAATAGCATTAACAAAATCAATGAAAACTCGAAATTTCGGAAACAAGAAATAAATATAATATTTAACTGAATAATTAACCAAAAAAGATAGCGAATATGTACCCGGAATTTCATGAATAAATTATAATGTGCAAACCAGCAATTGAAATTGTCAAACCTTATTACAACATATTTAAACGAACATACAGGATATGTCATGTAAACAAAAAACACTGAAAAAGAGCAAGGTCACGTAAAGTAATAATGAGACCAACATGAAAGAAGTCGGTACAGTATAACCCTTGACATAAGGGCTATCGCCTGGACAGAGCGCAAAACCCACAAAAAGCATGGGTTTGCACCCTATCCAAGTGGCGCGTGTGTCGACATTTATACACAGGTCAGTCATGTATACACATAATGTACATTATAAGTTTGAGTTGTGATTATAGGAACACCAGAAAATAGGGACGGGGAAATGGAGCCAGTCAATATAAAAGTTTTCTGTTAATATTTTGAAATGGTGGCAGACTGTCATTAGGCTAGTATCCCCCACCCAGACGACACAGGTAGCAATACTGTACTTACAGACACTCATATTCCTTCAACTGATCATATGTCCATCACTCCCGTGCCTTCGTAGTCTTTCTCCTGTCATTCCTCTCCTTCGTGCAAGACTCTGATCAACTTGCCATCTAGGTTGGGGGACGATAGCATAGAGACCACTTGCCATTACACCGAAGAAAAAACCCAGTATTTACATAGTTTGGTAAGTAGACTGGACACAACCATCCTCTTGTAACGACATTTTTCATTGGTTAATAACCATTCAGTATTTAGGGGATAGTACGTCGTTCTGAGTGTCTATGTTGGCGATTAGAAATGAAGTTTAGTTTGAACTCGTGACTGACAGATCTGCTGGAAAAAAAAAATCAAAAAAATCTTTGTAACCTCTTGATCTTATAAAACCTATCGATATCAAGAATCAGGGTGTTCCGTCGAACAATCCAAGAAGGTAACTAGAAATAGTAAAATATTCCATGTGGTTACGAGCGATGTCGATACAGCTTGAAGGTTGATGCTTTTGATGGATTGAAACAAACATTTTGCATAAAACATGACGTCGGTGTTAATAGTTTGCCGTCTGTCGAATGGTTCCCGCCGCGACACTACTCAACAGGGTGCGCGCGTGTACTAGGGGGTTACTACCGATGCCAAGATGGCGGACGAGTGTTTTCAGAACTGGTCGGTAAAGAAGCTGAAGACTAAATTGAGGAAACGGAGTGCTACTACCCATGGCAGAAAAAGTGATTTAGTTGTGAGGTGAAACATATTTTATTTCATACTGAATAAAAGCTGCATTTATTGTTGTCTTTCTATCAGTTTCACCCGTCAGCTGTTCGGGTAATCGACTGTCAATGTCGGTGTCATCGAAAGTGAAAGTAAGTTTGGGGACAGGTCCGAAATACATAATTATTATATTCGTTTATTTTTTTTGATCGGCGTAAATCTCCATTCCTATCAATAATGATTGAGATCAAGGATCAAGGTGTGAAGATAATAAGAAGATTTTAACAGTGATTCTTTTCCTGGTTTGAACAAGCAGGGGGGGG